AGTCCAAGATCAAGGTGCTGGCAGATTCAGTTCCTGGTGAGGGCTCTCTGTCTGGTTTGCAGACAGCTGCCTTCTTGCTGTGCTGTCTGATTTCTCTTCCTCTTCTTCTTCTTTTTTTTTTTTTTTTTTTTTTTTTTTTTTTTTTTTTGAGACAGAGTCTCACTCTGTTGCCCAGGCTAGAGTGCAGTGGCATGGTCTCAGCTCATTGTACCCTCCGCCTCCCGGGCTTAAGTGATTCTAGTGCCTCAGCCTCCCAAGTAGCTGGGACGACAGGTGTGCACCACCACACCTGGCTAATTTTATTTTATTTTTTTTTAATTTATTTTTTGTTTTGAGATGGAGTCTCCCTCTGTCGTCCAAGCTGGAGTACAGTGGTGCGATCTAGGCTCACTGCAAGCTCCGCCTCTCAGGTTTACGCCATTCCCCTGCCTCAGCCTCCTGAGTAGCTAGGACTACAGGCACCCGCCACCACGTCCGGCTAATTTTTTTGTCTTTTTAGTAGAGACAGTATTTCACCATGTTAGCTAGGATGGTCTTGATCTCCTGACCTCATGATCCGCCCGCCTTGGCCTCCCAAAGTGCTGGAATTACAGGCTTGAGCCGCCACACCCGGCTTCTCTTCCTGTTCTTATAACATCACTAATCGAATTATGGGGCACTGCCCTCACAACTTCATCTAAATCTAGTTACCTCCAAAGGTCCCACCTCAAAATACCAGCACATTGGAGGTGAGGGCTTCAACGTATGAATTTGGTGGGGACACACAGATCACTCCAGAGCACCTCCTGATATAATATGGTAGACTAGACCACTTATGAAGCATTTCTGTCTCTCCCAACACCCCCAGATAGAGACCATAAATCTAATCAAACCTTCCAACCTAACTTCCAAAATAGAAGAGATACAGGGGGCAGAGGATCTAATTAATTACACCACTGGGAAGCAAGTAGCTAAATCTAGTATGTGGACATTTTAGAAAACAACTGGTCTTCAGCAACTTGACAGCATGGAGGAAAAATTACTCTTTCAATGGGGGAGGACTTTCCTACACGAAAAGGGACAGAAGAGACAGAATAACCAATAAGCAGACTTATTTAGATGCAGATTTGAACAAACTAACAATTAAAAACTGCTTTTTGGCCAGGCACAGTGGCTCACACCTGTAATCCCAACACTTTGAGAGGCCAAAGCCGAAGGACTACTTGAGGCCAGGAGTTTGAGACCAGCCTGGGCAACATAGCACGACCCCATCTCTATGAAAAAGTTAAAAATTAGCCAGCCAGGGTGGCCCATGCCTGTGGTCCCAACTACTTAGGAGGCTAAGGTGGGAGGATTGCTTGGACCCAGGAGGTTGAGGCTGCAGTGAGCTATGATTGCACCACTGCGCTCCTGCCTGGGTGACAGAGCGAGACCCTGTCTTTAAAAAAAAAAAAAATCAGACTTTAACAAGGAGCAGTAACAATGAAATTAAAGCAGATTCTTTGTCAAGAAACACCCCTGTCATCATCGCCCGTCAACTGAGACCAAGCCCCGGTAAACACACTACTGAAGGCCAAGGCTGCAAGGACCACTGTGCCAACTGCTGTCCCCCAAGCCTTCAACTTCTGGAGATCTTGGATCTCAAGGACAAGGGACATTTGTGAAAGATAGCTCATGAAACACAGAAACATGTGACGACCAGGCCAGCTCCAGCCTATAACTCACCCAGGCAACAACCAGGTGCCTGCAATGCCCATGCTGGGCTTTCTGGGCAAAGAGACTCAGTCACGTTCGGGAATATCAACTTGCCCCAAGCCTCCCCAACACCTCCTGGTATCCTTTTCCGGAATCCACTTCCCACAAATTCACCCACATCCTCCCTAAACCTAATTATATCCTCTCCCCATTCCTATCCTGGTGGAAAGAGTTCTGGAAGATTGCCACACTTGTTTGAGCCTCTTTTTGTTTGTGCTAAAATGATCCCTTCCAAGTTTCTGCAGAGGTCCCCAAGTTCCAGCCCACCAAATGCCAGAATGAGGTCTCCATTAGCCTCCAATCTTCGTGGACCTCACCTCCTGCTTTTCTGCAGGCGTATTTCAGGCTGCAAAGATTTTTTTTTTTCTTCGCACACTTTTTAACTACAAAAGCATTACATGAATATATGCTCTTTGCAAACCATCCATTCAATCCCCGTACCGACCAGTAGGTTCTCTTTGGGGCCTAGCACAGTGGCTCATGCCTGTAATCCCAGCACTTTGGGAGGCTGAGGCAGGCAGATCATTTGAGGCCAGGAGTTTGAGACCCACCTGGCCAAAATCACAGCATTTTTTATTGGCCAACAATACAAAAATTAGCCAGGTGTGGTGGTGGTTGCCTGTAATCCCAGCTACTTGGGAGGCTGAGGCAGGAGAATCACTTGAACCCAGGAGGCAGAGGTTGCAGTGAGCTAAGACTGCACCATTGTACTCCAGCCTGAGCGAGACTGTCTCGAAAAAACACAGAAACCAGAAAAACATTCAGACAAGCCACAAACAGACAGAGGGAAAACGGGACAGTCCCCTGGCCCAGCCCTAGACTTCTTCATAACATTAACTGCTGAAATGGTTTCCTGGAAACTTTTTTGAAGCATTTATCTACCTAGATGTGACCTGATTTTCCTTTTCATAAACGAAATCATGCTGTATCAACTTGAAAAGCTTGTTTTTTAGACAATCCTCACATGCAACTGTGTAAAGGCCACACTAGTGTGGGTGTTTGGAGAATACTCCTCATAGAAGCCCCGGGTAAGTATTTCCAAACAAAATGAGAGAAATAGGATTGCATGCAAACTTTTCCAGAGGACTTCTATGCTTTTCTGGGTCCCGCCCTATCCAGCCGTGAGTGTATATTTCTTCCCAGCAAGAAACATCCCTGTCTCCTTGTTATTAAGGCATTAGCCAGAAATCATCTTGGAGTCCTCTGATTTGGTAAATATCAAAGAGAAAAAAAGAACGAGAACCTGTCTTCTAGCTTTGATAAGCAGAGCAGTATGCTAGAAAACACCAGATCTTGGCCGGGCGCGGTGGCTCACGCCTGTAATCCCAGCACTTTGGGAGGCCGAGACGGGTGGATCACGAGGTCAGGAGATCGAGACCATCCTGGCTAACACGGTGAAACCCCGTCTCTACTAAAAAAATACAAAAATATTAGCCGATCGAGGTGGCAGGCGCCTGTAGTCCCAGCTACTCGGGAGGCTGAGGCAGGAGAATGGCGGAAACCCAGGAGGCGGAGCTTGCAGTGAGCCGAGATCGCGCCATTGCACTCCAGCCTGGGCGACAGAGCGAGACTCCGTCTCAAAAAAAAAAAAAAGAAAGAAAGAAAAAAAAAGAAAACACCAGATCTGGGCCTGGCGTGGTGGCTCACGCCTGTAATCCCAGCACTTTGGGAGGCCGAGGCAGGAGGATCTCTTGAAGCCAGAATAGTTAGAGACCAGCATGTGCAACATAGTTCTACAAAAAATTAAAAAATTAGCCAGTCATGGTGGTGCGAGCCTATGATCTCAGCTACACAGGAGGCTGAGGTCGGGGGATCACTTGAGCCTGGGAGATCAGGTCTGCAGTGAGCTATGATCGCACCACTGCACTCCAGCCTGGGGAACAAGCAAGACACTATCTTTAAAAAAAAAAAAAAAAAAGGCACAAGAGGTCAGTCCTGAGTGGCTACTGGGCCTAGCAAATCCTGAGCCTCTGTTTCTTCAGCTCAAGGAAAGATACTACTCTAACGTTTTAACCCTAGGGTTGTTAAGGATCAAAAGAAATGGAGATTGGGAGGGGCCAAGGCGGTAGGATCTCCTTGAGCCCAAGAGTTTGCGTCAAGCCTGGGCAACAGAGTTGAGATTCTGTCTCTGCAAAAAATAAATTAAAATGTAAAAAAGAGATGGAGGGAACAGACACAGGTAGTGCATTCCAGAGCGCTGTCATAGCTGTGTGGGTTGTAGTTATTACTAAATGAGGAAAAGCTAAATTCAAGCGAGTTATGCAAACGAGGCGTTTGGCAACTCCTACTTGCATGCTTACGGTTTTCTGGGGAAATTCAAATACGGGCTCCGGAGTCGCATCCCCGAGCGTCCCGGGGGTGGCCATGGCGCCACCTGCCGGCCGAGAGAGAGGAGACGCCTGGCGGGTCCCGGCGCCCGGGCCCGGTGACCCTGCGCCCTCTCCAACCCCGCCACGGAGCCACCCGATCCCAGCCGGTTCTACGTCCCGGGGTGGCTGGGGAGTCGCAGCCGAGGATCCTCCGCGGCCTCAGCCCCAAAGACTGGGCGGGAATGACCCCTCCGGTGTCCTGGGGCCGCTGATAGGAGAGGGGGTGCCCGGGACGCGAGGCCTTGACCACCCGGGAACCTGCTCCGCGACACAAAGCCGCAGCAGCGCAGGTGAGCGGCGGAGCCACGTGAGCGGCTGAACGCCCGGAGCAGAGCCCCAGCCTGGGCCACCGCGGTCGGAGCCACTTCCACTCGGAGCCCGGAACGAGGGGGCGAAGGTTGGGGAAGCGAAGAAAGGAAGAGACAGGGTGGGCGCGGCCAGAGACCACCGCAGCCCCGGACCCGGACCCGAACCCTCAGCCCCCGCGGCCCCACCACCCCAACCCTCAGCCCCCTCCGTCGGTCGTTCTAGCTGCCCCCTCTCTGCAGCACCCAGCCCCCGCCGCCCCGCGTCCCTAGCCGCCAGTCGCCCTGCACCCCAGGCCCTTCGGTCTCTGCCCCCGTGACCCCAACCCCCAGCCCCCGCCGTTTCGTCCCAGCTGCCCCGTGTCCCCAGCCCCTGGCCTCCACCACCCCACGCCCCCAGGCCCGCACCCCAACCCCCTCCAGCTCTCGTTCCAGCTGTCGGGTATCTGCAGCCCCCAGTCCCCGCTGCCCCGCACCCCCAAGCCCCGGATAGCCCCGCGCTCCAGCCCCCGAGTCTCTCGCTCCAGCCACCCAGTGCCCAGGGCCCCCGCCGCCCGCGCCCCTCGAGGCCCCGCCACCCCGCGCTACTCACCGGCGGCTCGTGTAGCCGCTGCCAGGGGAGCCGGCGCCGGGCTCCGGGTAGCCGTGCTGCTGCAGGGCTGCGGCCGAGAAAGGGTAGAGGAAGCCGGTGGCCAGCGCCGACCCGCAGAGGCAGCAACACGCCCAGGGCAGGAGCAGGGCCAGCTTCATCGTGCGCGGCAGACCGCGGGGACCTGGAGTCCCGGGCACGAGGACCGGCAGGAGCGCACCGGCGCCCGGACCGAACCTGCGGCCCCGGCCGGGAGCAGAGCGAGAGGAGCCGGGCGAGCGATCGGCGCCCGGGTGCGAGCTGGAAGTGTGTGGGGGGCGCCCACGCCTCTCCGGGGCCGCCTTTTCAAATTCGGCGAGGTGGGCTCTAAGCCGTCAAAGGGGGCGTGGGGCTTTCTTGTTAACCCTCGGTGGTCCGAGGCCGAGGAGGCGGCAGAGCTAGGGTGCGAGCTCCGCTGGGGGTCCCTGGAGCCTAGCACCCCGAAAGCCAAACCTCGCGCCCGGGCCCCCACTACACACTTCAGAAGCTTTGCAACCAAACCTTCTTCGGGTCCGCAAACACTTTCGGAGCGCCCATTCTGTGCCTGCCAATTTCACCTGGACGATGTTGGTGAATCCTCACCACACTGCCCTCGGTGGTCCCATTCAGAAGTGGAAACTGAGGCTGGAGAAAGTTAAGCCAGACAAATGCGCGTCTTCCGCTCCTTGTGCAGGGCTCTTTGGATCAAAGCACTGCGTGCCCGTGAGAAACCGTCCAGAGCTTCCCAAGAATCTTCTCCTTCCCCTTTCACCTCCAGCCCCCACCTGCCTCGCTGACTCTTCCAGGTAAGAAGCTTTGGGAAGGGCGGAAGGGTCAGTTGGGGTGAGAAGTTGTAGCTACATTGGGAGGCCGAGGCGGGCCAATCACCTGAGGTCAGGAGTTCGAGACCAGCCTGGCCAATATGGTGAAACCTCATCTCTGCTAAAAATACAAAAATTAGCCTAATGTGGTGGCAGTCGCCTGTAATCTCAACTACAGGCTGGGCTGAGGCAGGCGAATCACTTGAACTCAGGAGGCAGAGGTTGCAGTGAGAAAAGATCAGGCCACTGCCCTCCTGGATGACAAAGTGAGGCTCTGTCTCAAAAAATGAAAACAGTTCTAGCTAGAATCACAGATTCATGAGACATCCTATCCAGAAAAGGACTTCAGGAAGATGTAAGACAATCCCACCTTTTATAAATAGAAAAGCACAGTCCCAGATCCCATGCTGGGCCCAAGGCCAGCCTGGCCCCAAGTTGGTCTTTTCTGTGTTGCAGAGTTCCCTTAGGGCCTGGACCCGGCTCCAGGCACAGGTGGGACCAGACCAGAAATCCAGCCCGTACTCTACTTGCCCTGGTTGGGAGCACTCACTTTTTTCTTTTTTTCTTTTCTTTTCTTTTCTTTCTTTTTTTTTTTTTTTTTAGATGGAGTCTCGCTCTGTCACCCAGGCTGGAGTACACTAGTGTGATCTCAGCTCACTGCAACCTCTGCCTTCCGAGTTCAAGTGATTCTTCTGCCTCAGCCTCCCTAGTAGCTGGGACTACAGGCAAGCAATACCATTCCAGGCTAATTTTTGTATTTTTAGTAGAGATGGGGTTTCGCCATGTTGGCCAGGCTGGTTTCGAACTCCTGACCTCAGGTGATCCACCTGCCTCGGCCTCCCAAAGTGCTGGGATTACAGGCATGAGTCACCCAGCTCAGCCTGGGAGCTTCTTCCCTAATTCTCCCAAAAGCATCCTAAGGGTGCAGATTCCCTGAGACTTGCTCTGCCCCTGCGACCACTTGAGAACTCCTGTCTGTAAAATGCCTACAGGTTGGAGAAAAATCATCAAATATGGAAGTGCTTGCTGGACTGCAGCATATTTTGCAAAAGGATTATAGAGGCCGGTGGCGATGGCTCACTTCAGTAATCCTAATGCTTTGGAAGCTGGGCACAGTAGCTCACGCCTGTAATCCCAGCACTTTGGGAGGTCAAGGCGGGCAGATTACTTGAGGTCAGGAGTTCAAGACCAGCCTGGCTAACATGGTGAAACCCTGTCTCTACTAAAAATACAAAAATTGGCTGGGCATGATGGCGGGCGCCTGTAATCCCAGCTACTCAGGAGGTTGAGGCAGGAGAGTCACTTGGACCTGGGAGGCGGAGGTTGCAGTGAGCCGAGATTGCGCCATTGCACTCCAGAGCAACACTCTGGCTCACTAAATAAATAAATAAATGGAATGTCCACACTTCCCAAGTCCCGAGTCTGTCTTAAACTCAGAATTGGTCGTCTAGGAGTAAACAGCCTCCTAATTGAATCGCTTCATTCCTCTCGCCCTCCTTCCCTCCCTTGAGGCCTAAAAGATTTGGAGAATTTGGGTTATCAGGGGATTTTCAGTGCCTCCCCCAAAAGGAATCTGAACTGTGCTCCTTGGGCAGTTGGCCAACACCTAATAAATGATGAGGTCATCCCCCCCAGGAATTTGTAAGCGTTCTGTCTTCCACCTTCCCCTGCCTTCTACGCATAATGACATCTTAAAGAGTAGAGAAAGGCCATGTTGCTGTGAACTGGACTTTATGCTGCTGGTCATCACGGTAAGGGAACAGGAATATCGTTTATTATCTTCAACTCATTTTTCCAGTGCCAGGGTCTGCACCCAAGCTAGGGTGACGATGGAGAAACGGGGAGACAAAGGAATAACATTACTCCATATAGTGCTAGAGTATTTTAGGGCAAAAGCCTTTTTTTTTTTTTTTTGAGATTGGGTCTCACTCTATTGCCCAGGCTGGAGTGCAGTGGTGCAATCTTGGCTCACCGCAACCTCCGCCTCCCCGGTTGAAGTGATTCTCCTGCCTCAGCCTCCCGACCTGGGAGACTGCAGGCACCTGCCACCACACTCAGCTAATTTTTTTTTAATTTTTAGTAGAGAAAGGGTTTCACCATGTTTGCCAGGCTGGTCTCGAACTCCTGACCTTAGGTGATCTGCCCGCCTCGCCCTCCCAAAGTGCTGGGATTACAGGCATGAGCCACTGTGCCCGGCCTAGGATGAAAGTCTGTAGAACAAGCACGAATACATCCCAGAAACTGCAGAAATAAAATGGTCATCTGAGTTTCGTCCTTTCTTTTCTTTTCTTTTCTTTTTTTTTTTTTTTTGAGACCGTGCCTCTGTCTCCCAGGCCGGAGTGCAGTGGTGCGATCTCAGCTCACTGCACCTCGACCTCCTGAGCATCAATCCTCCCACCTCAGCCTCCCAAGTAGCTGGGACTACAGGCATGCATCACCAAGCCTGGCTGATTTTTATATTTTTAACAGAGACACGCTTTTGCCATGTTGCCCAGGCTGACCTCGAACTCCTGGGCTCAAGGAATCCACCCGCTTGAGCCTCTTAAAGTGCTGGGATTACAGGCGTGAGCCACCATACCTGGTCCTCTTCTTCATGTCCAGGACAATAGGTTCATTCTGGCCTGTGAGCATGTAACAGGCAACTTCTATGTGCCCATCTCTGTGCTGGGTGCAGCGAAGGGATATTGAAAATGCAAATAGCCTGGTACCCACCCTCAAAGTGCTTACACTATTATTTGAGAAGGCATTAAAAAGATAGCTGGCGGCCAGGCGTGGTGGCTCACACCTGTAATCCCAGGACTTTGGGAAGCCAAGGAGGGTGGATCATTTGAGGTCAGGAGTTTGAGACCAGCCAGACCAACAGAGTGAAATCCAGTCTCTACTAAAACTACAAAAAAATTAGCTGGGCATGGTGGCGCATGCCTGTAGTCCCAGCTACTCGGAAGGCTGAGGCAGGAATATCTCATGAACCCAGGAGGCAGAGGTTGCAGTGAGCCGAGATCTCGCCACTGCACTCCAGCCTGGGCAACAGAGAAAAACCCCGTCAAAAAAAAAAAAAAAAAAGTTAGCTGGCAGAGTGGACAGATGCATACGAGATGAGCTTCCCATTATTTATTTTTTCATTTCATTTTATATTTTTATTTTTTTATTTTTTTTAGACGGAGTCTGGCTTTGAAGCCCTGGCTGTAATGTAGTGGTCTAATCTCGGCTCACTGCAACCTCTGCCTCCTGGGTTCAAGCGATTCTCCTGCCTTAGCATCCCAAGTAACTTGGATTCAAGCGATTCTCCTGCCTCAGCCTCTCGAGTAGCTGAGATTATAGGCGCCTGCCCCCATGCCCAGGTAATTTTTGTATTTTTAGTAGAGACGGGATTTCACCATGTTGGACAGGCTGGTCTCAAACTGCTGATCTCAAACGATCCACCCACCTTGGTCTCCCAAAGTGCTGGGATTACAGGCGTGAGCCACCGTGCCTGGCCAATTTTGTTTGTTTTTAGACAGAGTCTTGCTCTATTGCTCAGGCTGTAGTGCAGTGGCATGATCACGGCTCACTATGCCCTTGACCTTCCAGGCTCAAGCAATCCTCCCACCTCAGCCTCCCGAATAGCTGGGACTACAGGCATGTGCCACCACACCTAGCTAATTTGTTATTTTTGTTTTTCATAGAGACAGAGTCTGACCATGTTGCCTAGGCAGGTTTCCAATTCCTTGCCTCAGCCTCTCAAGGAATTTGCATTGTTTTGAAAGAAAAAACACACATGTGGTGAATAGTAAAAGTGGGAGAATTGAACAGCCCTAGAATTGAGTAGTCCACATAGCCCTCCAAAGGTCCAAGTTTTCTACATTAGAATGTTAGCTGCAGGCCAGGTGCGGTGGCTCACGCCTGTAATCCCAGCACTTTGGGAGGCCGAGGCGGGCGGATCCCTGAGCTCTGGAGTTCAAGACCGGCCTGGCCAACATGGTGAAACCCCATCTCTACAAAAAATACAAAAATGAGCTGGGTGTGGTGGCTCATGCCTGTAATCCCAGCTATTCGGGAGGCTGAGGCAGGAGAATTGCTTAAGCCCAGGAGACAGAGGTTGCAGTGAGCCGCGATCACGCCACTGCACTCCAACCTGGGTGACAGAGTGAGACTCTGTTTCAAAAAAAAAAAAGAATGTTAGCTGCTGTTATCACGACAGCTGCCACCTCTACCCCCTCGGAGTCCCAGTATTCCATACAAGTACTTGTCTCTGTATTTCAAAACTGTACCCTTGCCATTGTCTAAATCCACGCAAAACTTCTGGAAAGGCAGAAGCCATTATTCCCAAGAACCAGAGATATCTAGCATTAAAGGCTTGGATTTGGGTGGGGCACGGTGGCTCATGCCTATAATCCCAACACTTTTGGAGGCTAAGGCAGGAGCTCAGGAGTTCAAGGCAAGCCTGGGCAACATAGTGAGAACTTATCTCTACAAAAAAAAATCTTTAAAAAATAGCTGAGTACTTGCTAATTTTTTTTTTTTTTTTGAGACAGAGTCTCGCTCTGTCGCCCAGGCTGG